AAACTCCAGAAAACCAACAAAACACAGGAACCAGGAACAAAGACAGACAAAGACGACACAATGGACCAACAACAAGGGGAGATGAGCACAGGTACATATAGACACAGGTAAAACACATCAGGGCGAGACAAGCAAGACAGGGCAACAGGACAGGAAGTAACACTAAAACCAAACCAACTGAGAACAATTTTCAAAATAAAACCAAACTACAAAATACAGATAATTTATACTTTATGATGGTAAGGCAGGATATTTTTAGTCTTGTTTTCTCATCATGTTAAATCTAACTATTTCATACCTGCTTCTTTAACATGCTAAAGCTAGATAATGTATACTTCATGATGCTAAAGTATTTTATTTTAGTATAGCGTTATTGTTCATTTATTGTGTTCTATGTGCTCCTCATTCCAACCGTAAACTACTGTGAAATTCCCCACTGTGAGGTATCTCTCCATCTTAATTCTAGAAAATGTATTGATAACGGTTTTCTTGATGGATACTAGTTCTTCTTTCAGATAAAACCCGGTATATCATTATCAAATGCGTCAGATGTTGCCATATCACCCTGCTGCAGGGGTTTGCACGCAATGAGCTTCCTTTTCTGGTCTGTGCAAAAATACCACAAAGAAGTGAACCGGAGGCCAAGGTGCTTAGCGTTAGCATGAAGAGAGGGATTCTTGCGGTTCCAGCTGTCTCCACAGTTCCAAATCCCTTAATTATGAGGCCAGAGTACACAATCTCAGGGGAGCTTGCTGGTACACTCCTGCACTCTTCTCGCTTAGCTGCATTTTCAAGTTGGAATACTGCAAGAGAAAGTGGTTGTAGGATGGCGAAATGTAACAAAAATCGTTTGGGTCTCTTTGGGTCTTTTTTATCAAGATTGAAATGAAGGGATCCTGTGTTCGTCCCACAGTACATGGGGAAATGTCAGTGTTGCATTACGGGATACAGAACAGTATGAGGAGCACACAAATCAATACAATCTCTAGTTTTAGCATAATAAAAGAGAACGTTTAAAATGTCTATATTGGGTATAATAAAGAGGCAAGTATAAAATCTCTAACTTTAACATGATACAGAAGCAAGTCTAAAATGTTCAACTTCAGCTTAATGAAGAAGCAAGCATTAAGTATAAAATCTCTGAGGCATACTTTAGCATAGTAAGAAAAGAGCACACAAAAATAATTATACAAAATACAAAACATACTGTAAGTTCCAGTGCAAGACATATTTACAAATAGTTTTTTCTTTTAATGTATTGCTCTCCAACTTAACTCTAGTGTACAATAGGATCCTCCTGTGCGATTGGGGGAATTTTGTCAACTATATTTTAAAAAACATGATGGAGGTAAATATGCTTAAAAAGGTCACATTTGTTTTTGGTTCTCATGTTTTTGCATATGGAGCAGCTGTAAAAATTACACAGGGTGGCTTTAAGCTCATCAGCCTTCTGTAAGTTGTGCAAGACTGTAAGTATGGTAAAGTTGTCCTTTTACAATCGCTGATGCAAACATTTGAAATGCTGGTCATTGGCTCACAAAAGCACAAACTGCCATCTGCTGTTGAGGCTCATCGACAAAACCCTGCTGAGGGATCCGCATCTCTAGGGTCTGAAGGCTGAGGTTTTGCCATTTCCTGGAAGAGTAAAATAATGTGCTCTTGGAATAAAGGCTAACTTAAAATGTGTTCTCATATGTGATGCTGGGTAATCTCATAATGATGCATACTGTGAATATATAAAGTATTTTATGATCTGTGCGGTTGTGGATAACAAGATATTTTAGAGCACAAATTTATTGAATGGAAGAGAGCATTCAGGAATTACATGGATTCGGTCATATACAGTACATGTCACCACAAGAATTATTTTGTAATGTTTGCATTGATTAACATTGGCATTTTACATCTTGCCTATGGATTACAGTTGGAAACTAATACTGACATATTTACAGTATAGTGTTGATTAATGTGTCCTGTCTCTATGAAAATAACCTAACACATTAAATCAATTGAGAATCACTGACATCTATATCAGGTGTCAGGTCAAACTCATGGTTTTCTAATTAAAACGTACTTAGTTTTTTTTTTTTTTATGATTGAGCCAAAATTAGATCAACGATGATGAAGGATGGTGTGGACCGATTTTTAATTGAACTAAAACTAATTAATTGTTTGGTTATAATATAGAATCTAACATAGAATAAATGAAGTCTTCTCTCCCTTTGAGGTTAAAATGGACACTACAATGTTCCCGCGGGCTGCGTTTGGCCCGCATCTCTTGTGTGAGATATTCCCAGACTATCTGCCAGGCTACTACAATTATAACACTACAATAGAAAGCAATACATTACAGAGTATTTTCAAATCTCTAATGATACCTTAAGAAATAGAGCAGTCAATCTCATAAATCTATACAAGCATCATTTCCGTTCCATTCTTTGAACCCCAGCGTGGCCAATGTATTGATATTTGACATTACTGATGTGAAGTGCGAGTATGATCGGTCAGATGGTGACACCCCTGACGGCTTATCATACACTGGGTAAAGACGGACTTGTCACTAAGCTAATGGAGTGCTCCGAGGTTAATTTACGACCCTATGAAGCCCATCAATAAGCAATTAGGAGGTGTGGAAACAAGAATGGGCAGCTAAATCTGCATTTGCCTCCGTCGGTTTCAAATCAATACATTGCTCTTAAGCCGCACGATGGATACACGAAAAGATAAACGCAAAAAACTGATTGAGCAGGCTGTGACCTCCTTTGTTATTGTTTCTCCAGTAATGTGTATATTGAAATCATCTGAAGAATAGACATACAGAACTTGAAATTGACTCCAGATGTTGAATAAGTATTGGTATTGGTTCCCCAAGATGCATGGAAACACACTATAGTATAAAGGTTTGGATACAGTCTGAGGGCAGCCAAAATATAAACCTGATTAACAAAGACACACAAAAGTGCAGTGGTTTTAAAGCTGACGTAGCTAAGTTTCAGAGAGAAAAATATGTAACTTGCTCCCATCACTAGCATTCATTATTGGGCCTTAGTCATATCTTTAGATCAGATTTCTTTCTGTGACAGAGATTGCCAGCCCTCATTCAGCCAATCAGCTCGCATTATGTGAACTATAACATGTTTAAAACTAGGATGAGGATTGCATGTTGTGGTCTGATTTGTTAACAAACAACATTGTAACTTAACGAAGAAATATAATGCATTATTTGTGGCCATTTGAAATATAATGACTCAATTGGTGGGATAAAAACAGTGAAGCTATATTTCTTTTGCCATTTCAAAGTGTGAAAAAATAATACCTTCAGTTGAAAATAAATATTAAATAAACCAAAAGTATGAAGGGTAAAAACAAATGCCTTCCTCCTGTAACTCCCTATGCAACCACCAGAGGGAGGAGGAGAAGATGTTTTGTTTTTTAACACGTTTTAAAACTGACCGGCTGCAAACACAGACATGTAATTCTAGATAACGCAATTTCACCTGGAATACTAAACCACTTGATTCAGGGGAACAAATTTGTTTTGAAAGGCTGAATACTGCTATGATGTCATAATGAAACAATTACATCATACTGTGACAGGACCGAGACGGAAGCTTTTAGACAGAAAGGGTGGATGGATCTAAAACTATCTCAGGTCTGTGACTGATGAGGGAACAATGTTGCATGGAATAGAGAGAAAAGAGAGAAAAATACATACAGTAGCATATCAATAAACAGACAAAAAGGACAAACCAAATGCATGGTTGACAAAATAAAAGTTGGAACATCTGAAGTCATGGTCCTGATCCGAGCCCAAACTGCTCCAAAGTGGTTTATGTAAGATGGAGACTAGTTTCTTAGTAGAAGGAAGTCTTAAATGCAAGGGCGGACACAGTTTGAAAAGCCTCTCTGCCAAATCGCCCTCAGCATCCTCATTGCATAAAGTTTATACAGTGTCTGTTTGTCTCTCCCTGAATAAAACAGTATCCATTTCTAATGGGAACCAGAATTGTACTGATTAACCAATAGAAACATGTCACAAGCGTTGACATCTATTGAACTGACTGACTATTGAACTGCTCGTGACACTTTGCAGTTGGTGTAGACCTCACAAATTCATACCTTCAACATCGTATAACTCAATTCTACATATTTTGGTATTTTAAAAAGCCCTGCCTATTCAGTATGCATTGCGTTATATTATGAATCAATTTCAAGATATTCTATAGTGACTATAAAACATGTGCAATCCCACGGAAGAAAGCAGACACCATTCGTCTCTGCATAACTTACTGCAAAATAATGCGACTGTGCTGGTGCTGTGAGATGGCTGGTCCGTACAAGATTCAAGATTTGATTGTATCCTTGCGTCTCATCAGCCCCAATGTTGTCAGTAGATTCCTCGTTGATTTTTGCCCTGCCTCTTGACACAATCGCTCCTTAAAGTATTCATGGCCGTATGTAAGCTGACAGCCTGCGCATGTTGAACACCTAATTCTCCACATCTTGCTCAGGAAATATTCTTTCATTACCTCCTCTATATCCTTTATGCAATGAAGTCTTTTCCCCTTTTTTTTTTGTACCACCGTGACACACTTCTGAACGTCTCCAGAGATATTCAGATGCAGGTCCGGTGATATGATATGTATGAGATTTTCTACGTTATCAGCTACATCTGACTTGGATGGGCCCAGGGGAGATTTTGAACACATTGTCGCCATGCGGTCGCTTACCATTTTAAGTGCCGATGCACACCGCGGGAAGAGGACCTTTTACTCTACAGCAAGAAGAATAGATTCCACCCAAGAAACTGCCAGTCACTCTCGGTCAAATTATTTTAAACAGATGAATGTGGTGTTGTCTGTTTCTCTGTCCACCTACACGTGTGACATATGTTAGCTTATCGATCCTCACAAGATCCCTAAAAAAAGATGTGTTTCCAGTTACGCTCTATTCTATGTGTGACACTTTTATCATTGTTGATTTTCTCTTGTCTTTCACAGCTCCACCAAACAATATCTCAGTGATGGCAGAGAACACGCCGGCTCCTTTCAGTCGGTACCAGGCCCAGAATTTCACTCTACTGTGCACAGCGAAAGGAGGAAAACCCGCCCCATCAGTGAGTACAAAACAGACTAATAATATACTAAAAATGTGAAATAATAATAATAATAGCGCTTCACAAGACGTTTCAGATGTCATTATTCATTCACTCCATACACAATAGTTATAAACTACTTCCATAGCCACAGCTGCCATGGAGCACACTGACAGAAACAGGGCAACCAGAATGTGTTATCAGACCCTCCGATAACCACCAGCCATTCACACACACACCAGACTCATTCTAATGTGGGTGAAGTGCTTTGCATGAGGACACAGCAACAGTTTGGCACTTTACAGCCACTATCGTTCCACCAAGCGTACCCAAAGGTCTCCCATCACAGTACTAACCAGGCCCTGCTCTGCACAGCTTAAAAAGTCTGATGGGGTCTGGCTTTCACATGCAGGTATTGGTCAACTACATGAACTTATCAAAGTGTACAACACAAGAGAAATACACATTACTACTCGATAGTCTAAAAATAGCATTAGCATTAGCATTGGTAATTATGTCAATTGACTGCAATGCACCAGGGAGCACCGTCACCCTGTCTCGATGTTTGAATTAACTTGAACATCTCCATACTGATTGGCCATTACTTAATGCTTATAAAAACTGCATGGGTTGATAATTCCCATTTTAAACTGCTATACTCTGTGATTTTCTAAAAGAGGAATTTTCTTTTGATAAAAATGCATACTAGCTGTTTGGCATTGTGTGTGACATTATTTTTTTTACCCCACAGTTAGCAGCTAAGGCACCTAATGTAGTTATCAGGTCAATTTCTGTTAGAAAAACCTATTACAACAAATGTTTAGCGTTATCATTATATCAGCCCGCCTGACAAACCTGAAATTGCAATACAAACCAATATTGCACAGAAACCAGATTCTGGACAGTGGCTCATCACACTGTATATTTGTCTTGTCTGTAAATTTGTTCGTGGTGTATAGGTCAGCCTCCCGCATTTACATTTCACTCTACAAATGTAAAAGTCAGAGGTTTCTAAAGGGCCCAAAGGTCAGTGCCGTTATATTTGGAAAGTAATTACATTCCAGAATAGTATGCCTTTTTTCTAGTTTTTTTTTTTAGCATTCTCGCCTCTGTTTATTCAACTGTATTAACCAGTTATTGCAATGATGTCGCACTATTTCAGCACTGTATTTAATAACCATACTTAGTAACATTTTCTTAGTAAGTAGTCTATTTTTTTTATTTAGCGTCTTGGTCTGGCATTTGTCTTTCACTCCACACAGAGATGGGAGCGGGGTTGCCATAAATGAGGCGCAGGCCAGACCTATTGTACATGTTTTTAGTGGTATAAGGGAAACCGGAGCACCTGGAGGAAACCTAAGCAAACACAGGGGAGAACATGCAAACTCCTCACAGAAAGGCCAGGACGTAGAATTGAACCCAGGACCTTCTTGTTAATGTAAATGTTTTAGTTATTGTGATTGTATTGTGAAAATTGAGCGTGACAATATTGCGGAATTATTTTACTTTTTTTTTTTCCGTCAGAACACGCAACACATATGCACACACAAAGACACGCATCGCTTTGAACTCTCTAAACACATTTTTATACAGACAATTTTTTTTCAGTTACTTACTATAATGATGTGAGTATGTTTTACTTATAATTTATTGGCCATTTTAACATTTTTCCTCAAGTACAAATATTGACTTCTCTCCGGCCTCTATTGAAGGTAAAGACATGTTTTTTTTTATATGGCGCAGTGGCATGAGCCTTTTGTCCTTTTCCATGTCGGAGCCCTGAGCTTACACATGCAGTTTGGGTTTGGCCGCTCCTGGTTTGTTCCCACGTGGCCATTAATCATTGTCCGCAGGAGCATGGTAATTGACTCCAGAACCTGACAACACTATCTCCTGCAATTATGAGTCCAGCAAGAGGTGACTACAAGGTGAACCTGATTTTAATCTCGCACATACTCTCCGTCTGTCTGTCTGTGAGGCAAATTCAGAAAGTAAAGTTGGATTCAAATTTGCCACATTTAAAGATGCAGTCTGTGATTTTTTTCCAGACACGTTTTTTTTTTTATATTGTGGGATAATTTCCCTAAACCCTAAAAGTAGTCAAGTAATCATGTGTTTTTAAATAGTAATGGAATTGACCAGATGCCTATAGTCTCCAATAATTGATTACAAATATTTTGGAGTGGACCATGGGATTCGTTCTTCCCCAACGAACTAATGGAATGCGTTTACCCCCTTAACCCTCGTCCTGTTTCTCACGAGTGTGCGCACCTGGTTATTGTACTTTCTAAAAACCAAAAAAGGGCTGAACAGAAAATGCCAATTTCACGTTTGCCATCCAATCTCCCTGTTGTGACAAAGAAAAGAAACTGCTGGATATTTGGTTCGGTGGAGAGGCGAGGGGAGGGGGAGTGGTTTGAAGTTGGTGCTAGGCTAAGCTAACAAAATCGCTTACTGCATCTTTAAAACGACTGCAGTTTAATGGGCTCCACACACACTGTACAAACAAACGACAATCATAACACCAGGATTAAAATCACACACAAGGCATGAGGTGAACAGGTGATTTTGAGCCTCTGGTTGACTTTCACATGAGAAAACCCACACATGTGATTTATAATATTGATAATACAATACAATACAATACAATTTATTCTTGTATAGCCCTAGGTCACAACAGTCTCAGAGGACTTAACAAAACCATTGAAATCACCAACACAGATCAGATGCACATACATTATATGTGCATCTTTGTACGAATGTATTCAGTGTATTACATTACAAAAATTGTGCTTTCTCAGGGCGAGACTGCCTCAGTTGGCCTTCAGGCCTAATGGTCGTGGGTCCGATCCTCCCATAAAGCCTACTCTATCTCCTCCCACTGAAGTATTCATTGTGTCCATGGGCAAGACACTTTAACCCGCTCTGCTTGAAGCCCTGCTGGGAAGACCAAGCCATCTTCCCGTGGAACTAACACGTGGAAGGATGAGTGAGGGCTGGTGCAATGAGCGTTTGGTGGCAGCAACCAACAAATATAACCAAGAAATATAATAATAAAAGGGGAGGACAATGATTGAATTTACAATATGACGGCACTCAGTGAAATCAATGGTCCGTCAATTCTATCTCTCTTTGATTGGCTGTAATATCGGTCGGCAGGAAAACGTTTCTTGGATAGCCTTATAACCTTACATCGTGAAAGGCTGTCCTCAAGTAGCCTAATGTCAGCGTCACAAACAGCGGCACCTGAAATAAAATAGAAAGACACCCATCCAGTAACAGTGTGAGGGGCTGAAGAGTAGAGAAGCACGGAGAAAATGTGTTTCTCTGTTCTTGTCTGCCTATTTTTGTCTTGCCTTTTTCTTTAGTATTTGCGAGAATTGAGATCGGTCAGGATGGGGGAAACAACGCATTCAATCAAGTTTTTTCGTGGATGTTTTTTTTTCAACAAGAGAGCCATAAACATGTTTTTATTTTATTGTGTTTCTTCTGCTCCTATTGAGTCATTGTGTGTGAATGGCACATGCTGCACTATGGCGGACAAGCCGGTTATAGCTCTCCATTCCTGGAAGCTTCGTGGCATGTCTGCTTGAGTGAGAAGACGCTGTGTCGGCATCGCTCATGCAAAACGCAGAGTTAAACCCAGTCAGCATGACACGACCCCAGCGAGAAGGCAACACATCAGAGCTGCGAAATTACATGGGCTCCGCGGGGAGGCTATTGCTCTCAGTCAGACACTTTGAACTGACTCAGTATCCAGTAAACACGCACTCGCATTCTGACGGAGCATATGGAGAGTTCGGAAAAGTTTAAGCTCAAGGAAAGAAATGTTTTACACTTAAAGTCTCCTCTCCAACCTTTTTTTTTGGGAGAGCTACTTGTTTTGTGATAATGGCAGAGAGCTACACGTTTTAGACAGTCGACATGATGTTGTACTACAAAAAAAAATTTCATTCTTAAAAAATTATTTAGTTTTACTTCCAGCACGGATGTAGTACGTGTTTTAACTTTATTTTTGGCAATTTTCTGTTGTGTAGTGTTATACCTATAAAAGAATCTATCATGATGGCTGTTTGTATTTACTAATAAAGTTTTTCTTTGAGAAGCTAATTTGAAGAGGGTGTTGAGCTACTGGTATCTCCCTAGCTATAGGTTGGAGACCCCTGTTTTTTCACAGAATAAAAAAGAAACCTCCAATTTTTGTTTGATTCCTTTTACTTTTTAAATGCTACCTTTTTTGGTCATTATTTAAAAACAGGGCGACAGTAGCTCAGTTGGTAGAGCATTGGCCTTCAGGCCTGAAGGTCATGGGTTCAATTCCCACCTCTACACCTTCTCCACCGACTCCCACTGATGACTGCTGTCGTTGTGTCCTTGGGCAAGACACTTAACCCCACTTTGCCCAAAGCCCCCACTGAAAGATCAAGGCTATGCTCACACTCAGAGAGCAGCCGTCCTCCTGTGGACTCACCACCTGCAGAGGGTCAGTGAGGGGCTGGTGCTATGAGACTTGGGTGGCATCTCTGATTGCCACCCCCCCGACCCAGAAATGGATTAAAGGGTAGAAAATGGATGGATGGATGGATGGATGGATTTAAAAACTGTATATTTATTGATTTAAAGAGTTAATTTGCAAAAACAGTCATCTCAAATGTGTGAAAATCTTGCATTCCTCGAGCTACAATCTTTGACAAATTTTAATGTTGTCTGAATATTTGAAAGAATTTTCTCAAGAAGGGGTAGCATTAAAATAGACCTGGTATTTAATAAACGTCTTGGTTAAGGGCCACTTGCAAACCTTTGAATTAAAATTTCTATTGGCAAACTCAGTATACGTATATCTGTTATTGCAAATTAACTTATCAAATGTAATTTAAAGGTCGAGGTCAAGGTTAGCACAGTCAGATAGTAATAATACACAGAACAGTTTTTTTTGTGGCACTTTCTCATTCCTTACAATTAACTTGCAGCATGGACAATAGGATGTTTATATTCTCAAAGAACAACCAAAATTGTTAATT